AGATTGAACTTTTGTCATAACTATATTCTTCTAGTTTCAAACAAGTGACAGACACTGAATATAACTCAATTTTTCAGATAATGACATCTTTTTCATTGTAATGATACGATATCAAAAGAAGAATAGTCTGCTCGAAATTCGTCAATACTTTTCAATTCTCGCGTTTCCATACCCTTTATTATCAGAAGCAAATTTTTTCCACTGATCAAGCTGTTAAGTAGCAAACACCAAAGTTGAATTCAAATACTGATTATATTATATAAGTGTTCTATTTATGAAAGATATTCGACTATTTGAATTTCTTAATATTCGGTCTTGAGGTTATGAATAAGAGGAATTTGATTAATAGAAGTTTGAGACTCACATCCTTCTTCAGTTGAGTATAAACTCGAAGCTCAAATATTTATAGATAGAGTAGATCGATTTGAGTGCAGTCGATATCGTCTCAGAGCGATTCTCATTGGTTCTGGTATCAAGTTCAATATCCAACTGAAACCCATTGGAATTAGAATTGGTCGAATTTTAGGCGTCTGATAGAGTTTTACTCTATGTTATACTTTATACCATAAATTCAGATCAGCTATTTAATAAACAAGAGTACAACACAATAATAGCGTCGGTAAATAGATCAGTATCACTAGTGAGTTTTTTCAATAAACACTTTCATAGCGAAAAAAACTCTGAAATCGAACAATGGCTTCGAATCATGACTATGAAATCTTGGCATATTTGGTATTGTGCTGCAAATACTATTTCAAACCAAGCATACCATGAAATATGAATGAAATTATGACAATCAATTAATTTTATTGTTATTATCAACAAAGGAGAGAATTATGAGAAGTTTATTCCACAATTGAAAGACGAGAAAAATTATTCTTATTACTTTAAATGTAACTGGCACAAAACTATTGCCTAAAGTACATGATTTAAAACCGAATAGTGCTCATAATCACTTTTTTTTATGGAGATCAAAGTCATTTCTACGAAACTCTCTGAATTAGTCTTTAAAATTACTCATGATCAAAATAAAACAAGAAAAATACGAACGCATGATTACATCTACGTTATTGGAAACGATAATCAATATGCCAAACATGCTGAATTTAAAAACTTTTACAAACGATCTCATGGAATTTTTTTGGTTTATAAATAATCATTTGCTTATCAATTTTTGAACAAAGCTTTACGTACGCAAAGCATTGATACAGTATTTGCATATCACTTTCTACTACGTGATGTCAATGAATAATTAAATAATGAACTACTACATTATTGTATCAAATTAGAAGAACAACATTCTGATTCAGTATTGGACAAAGTCATTCATTCATATGAAGAACAAGTAATGTCTCTCGACGAACTAGATTTTTTTATTGCTACTAATAGAAACAAACAAATTACACTTGGACTTGCTTGATCTAATGAGGTTATTTATTCATTTCTAAATTTGGTTTTATTTGCGATACAATCAGATATCTATTCCTTTGTATAATTAAAATCATTTGATGACATTGACTATTCGAGTAGTTTCGATAATGCAGAAGAAATCCTATTTATGATAGGTAGTACTGCGCTCAAAATTGAAAGTGTACAAGATGAAGATCACATGGAACATATTTGAACCTATAACTTTATTTCATGTGATAAAAGTAGTAATGTATCAAATGAACTCTTTCAACAGTTAAAAAGTGAAATATTGCCAACAAATTTTTATTGTCAGATCATTAGAAACATATTATTCGAAATGAAATATTTTGATACGACTGAACACTACTATCAAAGATATTTAAAATATTTACCATCCCATGATAAACAGAGCGTCACTGATGTCGATCACAGATTGGCGTTGGTTGGCGAAGCCATATGAAACTGAAAATTTGGTGCAAACTTATTTCAAAACAATAAATAATATATTACGCACTTTATATGATGAAATTTATTGCAAAGATAAACTTGTAGGACCCAAAGCTATGTATATTTTAGCAACCTTTTACAAATGCAATGAAAATCGGATGAAGCATTAAAATATTTCTATAAATGTTTAGAAATTCGGTTGAATTTTCTAACAGAAAATCAACCACGATTATCTAAAACATATGAAACTACTGAAGATCTATATATATTGACAAATAATTATTATCTAGGCACATCATCATATCAAAGAATTCAAATTGCTGAGTTATAAAAGAATATTCGCATTGGCTATGTTATTTGTTTAGCACAATTATTAATTAGATTTGCAACACATTAACATTTGTCTCAAGATAAACAGTTTAAAACTTTTCATAAAGAAAAATTGCTACTCTGACTTCGAACCACCGTCAAAGAAAGAGTATTAGATGGTATGAAATAGAAAGACATTCTTTTTCGAAAGTTTTCAATGACTCAATGCATAAAACAAATATGACGTCATTTTTAATTGCTTCGCAAACAAAAGAATACAACAGAAAAGCGAAAGAACGAAAGTGGTCAAACAGAAAAAAGAATGCCATTGAGCGGAGTTGAACCGCTTACGCCCGGACCACAACGGGAAGTGATACCGTTTCACCACAACGGCCTTGTAATCTTGAATGTAAGAATTTCAATTGACAGTTAATCAAAAAGCAAAAAAAAATGTTGATTTACTGAAACACTCAAGATTTCTATAACAAACTAATGTGATCAATATTTTGATCGTCGAGTCATTATTTTTTTGGTTCATTTGAAAACTTTTTAAAATGTTTCAATAATATGATTTCTTCTATATAAATCAATGAAAAATATTTTGAAGGGTGCTGGTGATGAAAAGACACACACCATGAGAACTGTTATTATATTGCTTTAGTTGAGAATAATAGACATAAAGCTAGAAGTGCTGCTTCAAAAATTTCTAAAAGTGCATGGAATTCAGCTTTCTCTGAAACTGAACTGTTTCTCATTCGTCTAACGTTCTGCAACTGTATGATCATTAGTCGAGATCGATTGTTATCTTTCATGCGATTGGACACAGCAATTTTTATCTGAACTAAATTTTATTGCTTACACTCATAGCTCGATGTTGAAGGATATTCCAAACATACGATGAAATGATATTCTTCAATTCTAATGAACCGTATTGGTGTTGTGACTAACGAGAGAAGGTCTCCAAGTGATTCATCGCTTTTAAATCGGAGGTATGTACATGTTTGATCATTATTTTAGTCGCGAATTAGATCAATAATCATTAATAGGATTCTGAATAAAGGTCACTTCAGATACATTTATAGATGAGAAGACGAACACAAATTCATTGATAGAAGTATGACAGAGTCGCTTTAGATTATTTTTTTCTTCAACAAGGAATTAAATCTGTTTCCAAATGATTTGCAGTATGAATGATTTCTCAGTAAAAATTGATGTCAGACACTTGATACTATTTTCTACGTACATTAGAGACATATTTACTACATAAAAACTATTTCGCGATCGATTATTACTAAAACTTATTCCATGGGGCCATTCTATTTGATGAACTCACACAATATGGTTATGAGAGTCAATATCGTAGTGTGGATATTTATGTTGGCTTCAAATGAAGTCTTTTGCATTGCTCCGGTACTACTATGAAGTATTGCTTTTTGGCTCACTGGTAAAATCTCTTAGCCATGAATACATCTCCTACTAACCTTTATGAAAGATATGTCTACATAGGAAAGCTGTTATAAAAATTGTTATGAAGAAAAATCACCTTGCTTAGTTCAAATTATTTTCAAGAGTCAATGTGTGAACAACTATGATGTCATTTTTGGTTGTTTTAAAAACAGAAAAACAAAAGAACGAAAGCAATCAAACAAAAAAGAATATTATTGAGCGAAGTTGAACTGCTTACGCTCGAACCGCAGTCGGAGTTAATGCCGTTCCAATACAACGGCGTTGTAACATGAAATGTTAGAACTTGAACTAACTCTTGATCAAAAACCAAAGCAAAATCATTATTCTTGGGTTAATTTCTAAACCTTTTAAAAATTGTTCATTGATCTGACTCTTTCTTTGATAGCCGATAAAAGATATTTTAAATGGTGTGAATGTGGGTGAGGGTGAGCCAGTTCAAGTGGGTATGGAAGACAATGAAGACCCGCATCCACACTCACCTTAACGATTCACATCAATCAGTGCCTCCTATCACTGTCACTCTTCTAAGTTATACTTTCCTATAGATTGCCTAATACCCGTTATGGGACTATTTACGTCGCGCTGCGATCACAACTGAGCGACGATGTTCAGTAAGTGACGGTTGATATTTCACCTTACTAACTTCTTTTTTCTCTTACGTTTACTTGAAATGAAAACGATGTTATAGTTAGTTGTCTCTATCGATTTGGTTTGACCGAAGTTACTGTGTGGTTGTAGGAAGTCGCATTTGCATTTGCTGGTGATATATATGTTTAAAGGAATACAGGTTTCTCTATGTGATAAATGTGGGGAGAACCAATGAGGAGCATTGATGTATAGTCATTTTGATTAAAATGGATTCTTTATATCATTAAAACACCACAATTAGAAACCGGTAGTCGATTATATTATGTGGAATAGATTAGTTAGAATTTCATGCGACTTGATCGTAATCGATGGATGAAATGTTTGATCTACGAAGTATTCTGACATTTCTTTCTCGTCTTTTTTCTTTATCGATAATACACAGATAAAGTTTACATACTTTATAGGAAATGCTGTAAACATATTATTTCTGTGCTCGAAGGGCAATGCAATAATCACTTACGTAGATCACATAGCATATTTGTTTGCTTTAGAAGCATAGCTCGAGAATATACATCCTTGTTGTGTAATTCATTTCAATTAACAAGTGTTGACATACACTTCAATATTATGATTCACCTACATAAATTTCATTAAAAGGAATAGTACAACAAGACATCCTATATAATGCTTCCCCAAACGATTAATTCCATGCACACGTTCTAATCAATAATTTGTACGTACATAAAATGTCGGCTATTCTCACTTTTTTCCTCCTATTGATGCTTATTATTGTAAATAGTGCAGACAGTATTGATCACAAGTTGATAATTAAGAAAGATTTTCTTTCTGGAGTTAAATCAGCCGAATTTTCTGTTTATGATGAGAAAGAACAACAGCTCAAATATCGTATTGAATCTCGTCTTCTTCCCAAACATAATAATAAAATTGTTGCTTATCCATCGAAAAAAGTCATAGCCAAATTGACAGGTCAATGGTCATTGTTGACTTATTCTGCTACTATTTCTATTCTCGATCCACGATTAAATATATGGATTGATGGTAATATTACAGATATTGGTGGTTTATCTGCTTATGAATACATTATTTATTGGAATGATGAGCTTATATCTATAAAAAATCCATCATCTTCTTCTTTCATTAAATTTTATGATAAAATGGAAAAAATTGATCTGGCTCGATTCAAAAAACAACGCGCATTATTGAAACCGTCGAAATACGATTTAGAAGTGTTATCGGATAAATATCCTGATGTATTGTATTTGCTTGGACTTACCGTTTGGGATCAGGATTACTCACAATTTAATAGAGGCAAAAAATGAGAAAAAGAACACAAATTGCAGTCGTTAGTTTAAACAAGTTTTTTTTTTCTTTGACTTATTATATCTACATTTTTCGAGAAGATCATGAAATATTTTTTTTTGTCATGTACGAATTCAAGACGATCAGTTATGTATGAGTATGGCGGTCTCAAGTAGTCGAACACATATTCTTTTGAACAGCTTTCCTTCTTGACGATTTTTTTCTGTCGTTTCAAATCATAGCAAGACATGCACACTCGAACATGTTCTTGACAAATTCAAGTTCGCTGAAATATGCTGATGTGTATAAACTATGGTTTTTCGGTAGAATTTCTCTTCAAATGAGCACACTGCTTATCTGAAGTATTGATGATATTGGTAATATTGAGATGATTGCTCGGTAGACATGATACACTGTGACCGAGATGTTCTGCATTTTGATATTCGAATTTTTCTGTTTCTATCAAACATATTTTCTCACCACTTTATTTCCTCTCACTAGTTCGAGAAAATCTTTAAAAAATTTCAAAATCTGGTTACATACAGAATGGTTCATCTTATAATATGATTGACCTTATAATAGCTAATGTTTTTCTCATGTTTACATATCATTGTCGATACGCCATAAAGACGGTGATGCAAAACAAGAACATTGCATTACTCTTCATACTGTGATTTCTGATAGTTGATATTTGGAAAATGAAAAATCGAGTAAACGGCCATTCAAAAAAATATAATCTGTGACATGAAATCATCTCCATTACTATCCTCAGTTTAGTTGTTATCCTTTTTGTGTTGATGATTGCTACTTTAGTAGTCTAAAAATATCCTCAGCGAATTGTTCATACCACAGACTCGACTAACTTATACTTTGAAACTATGGCTTAACAACACATAATAACAAACACAGAGTGACCTCTTGTAAAAGAGATAGATGCGAAAAAGTGCAAGAACATTGGCAAACTATTATGTCTTTATTGAATCAAGCTACAGCTAGTGATTTTGATTTAATAACGAATCCGTAAAAAAATAAGCATACCACTGAGAGCGTTGGTACGAGTTTACGACTTTTTTGTACGTATATATCAATATTTAGAGCGCGAGTATAAGGTTAAGTGAAAAGGATAATGGCATATACCTATCCACACACTTAGCCGTGTTCAGTCAAACTCACTCTCACAGACACACACTTTCATCCATAACAAGTCGCTCACATCCATACCCTTCCATTTTCTCTAAAACAGCTAAGTTGTGGCACGCGAAATCAGCCCTACATGGCTAGGCGTGACACTTTTACCTTTCGTGCTCGAAAAGTGAGAACTAGATCTTTTATGCTGCTGTAGCAAGAAAAAAGTTTACAGAAATCGGAAAAGAAAGTCAAATTGATGATTTTTTTATTTTAACAAAAATGACATATTCGAAATCAGCGTTAAATTCTGCATCTAATGTACACCAGTCACTGTATAATGACGATTGTTGGTTCATTTAATTCGATGGAGCTCTCTAAATGGCAAATGTATTTTCGCAACACAACCCATTTCGAAGACATTAGAGATGAATGCTTTTACAGGAACATGCTCATCCATGCGTATTTCCTGATTATACTCACCAATCTTCTGCTATATGAATTATCACTTATGGGTCTTTCTAATTTTGTTCGATTATGATGAGAATTGAATTGGTTGAATAGTATCGTTCCTTTATTGATCGACTTCCATATATTATCTATTATTATTTCTTATGATACGTCAAAAAATGAACTAGAATAAAAAAAAGAATTTTTCAGAAAAGTCAAACTCTAAAAATTACTCTTCTTGCTGCTATGATATTGTATTTCTAGAATAACTACCTACCTGATAAGACGCCCAAATCATATTTATATTTTCAACTGACAGCGATTCTATGTATATTTCTACAGAGTATTACTATCATTGTTATTAATTGTATCAACACTGTAAAAATTACAGAGAAGCTCGATCACTCTATTTGATGAGAAAAAAGAAGAAGCTACACCATCAATCTAAACATAAAAAGATGCAAATGACCTTGACCAACACAACTGCCAATAGTGAAAATAGTTATTTACCATAAGTGGTTATTTGTGCCATTCAGAATAAATATTAAATTATTCTTGTGTTGTACTTCTTTATTATTGTATCTCGTTTAGATTAGTTTTATCGAATAGAATCGAATAATGTGTTTATATTGATTATTTCATCATGGAATTGTTGAGATTGTTTTCAAACAATTGAAACTTCTCTGAACTTAGTCAGGAAGTATTGACAAAAATCAATTTCAAGAGAAAAAACATTATAATGTACGATACAATACTGATGATTAATATTTTGTTGTTGGTTTTATTTTGGTAGTATCATAAGAAAAGGCTCCAAAACAATGCTGAAATCTAAGACTTCGAAAACAGAAAACAAATATCCTATTTATATCATACTATTTATACATTTTTATTATAAACAAACATTGAAAAGAAAAGAAGCATGTATACCTCGTCGACTACATTAAGTTATGTAGCAATAATGATATGCACCAGAAAATTAGACTTGCATAGATAAAAGGCAGATTAGCGTTTGATCTAAATATTCTTATTAAGCTGTGTTCTATTAATCAAAACTAATTAAAAAAAGATCTCACAATAGCGAAGCGTTATCGAAAAGTAATCATTATCAAAATGTTCATTTCACTTGTGTTTCATTGAGAGAACTACTTATGCATCGATAACAAATGACTGTCAGATGATCTACATTAGCAAACGAACAAAGTATCTCGGGTGTGGGGTGTGGGCATAAGATCACTGGATAGAAGATCATCACCAACACTCATACCCACACCCACACCCCATCCTCACCTTTGTTAAATTACATTTTTTTAAAGAGTCTGTGTTAGCGGTGATTCATTCTCGTTCCTACCCCTTGATATTTTTCCATCTCTCTCCATTATCCTCCATTGTTATTATTGTTATCTCTCCTTCTTTTCTTCTCTCTTCTCTCTTTTGTGTTGCGTAATATGTATGTGATCAAGGACATTTTTTATACACACACTTTTTTCTTTTGAAATAAAATAAGATAAGCTCGTCGAAACGAGCTAACAATTTGGTGCCGTGACCCGGGGCAAGGAGTTCCATAAGGAACAGGTGAAGATGAAGAATAACCAACTCCTGGTGAATTTGTAATATGCATTCTTGGTCCAGGTTGATTGATTGATGGTGACATAACTTGAGGTCGATATGCATTTGGTAATGATCCACCAGGACCCGGATGACCGATTGGATTTGATGGCATTCGAGCACCCGGAGATGTCATTCGTAGGCCTACAAATAAATATTTAAAAAATTTTTTCTTAATATAAACTAAATACCGTTTCGACCACTATCCNTAAGAATCTCACCAGGAAAGCAAGAGATGTGGGAGTGACTACTACATTTAGGGTGTGGATGTGTGAGTGTGGGTGGGTGTGGCTGTGGCTGTGACTGTGAGAGATTATAATACCGACGCCCACATCCGCACCTACCCACATTGATACCCTCACCCTCACCGACACGCACATCCATACCCTAAATATAGTAGTCACTCCCACATCTCTTGCTTTCCTGGTGAGATTCTTAGATTTACACGATCCAGTCCATCGTTTTAGAACGCCTTTGGTTCAACCTTGTTAGAAAAGAACTTCTTTAATAGAAGAATTGAAGCTTTCTACGGTGGAAGAATCCAACTTTGTAATCAGTTTGGTAAAATCATGACGTTGATTTTTGATTATAAAATACTTATAGATAGGGGGTTTTGGATTCTAAAAATTAGCTGACATTTCTTGACGGATTGTGATTTTGATCCAATAATTGTCTTGACAAAGCGATGGAATTTTAAAATGAATTGTAAGTCCATCATCCAATGAATGATAATCTTCCTTCCCTAGTTTCAGTATGAAGAAAAATATATTTTGATCTTAACCATACCTTTTGTGTAAAAATTGTCTCTGATGGAAGAAGGTGACAGTAAATTCGATGAATCAACTATTGAGACATGTTTTCAGTATTTATACCTGAGTTATTATGTCAAAGAAACTTTGTTAGGATATCAGAAGGGAGCACAGAAGCACTTTTGTTTTGAGGAAAGAAAATCCATTTTTCTATAAGACATATTTATTCACTCCGGACTTATTTCGATTCATATACTTCAATATTTCAGCTCACACACAATGCTGGTATTCATTTGTTTTTATTCTGGCTTTCAAAGTTAAGGCTTCTTTCAACTGTTTCTCTAGGGATCAACATACAGGTACCGAGGAATTGAAGCACCAAGTTAAATTTAGTTGTTCGATTTGATATTCCCACTATAATTAGCATCATCGTCTGAAACATTTAATGTAAGTTCAGCCTTTAATGCATTTGGTTGAGCGAATGAAAAAGGTATCCGCATTCGATTTTGAAGCATGGACGAGTTCTGTTTGTTAAAAGAAGATACATTAACAAAATTTTTATTGTAATGTATCAAAAGATAGAGTGTTAAGAGTTGAACAAAATTAGTCATTATTACATGATTTTTCGATGGGTCAAACGCATTTTATAGGATAAGTACTGTCTATGACTGTTCTATTTTTGAAATATATATTGCGACTTTTTTTCTTCGACACAATCATAAGTTTGTAAGTATAGACACGAGTAGGTGCAGTATTGGCTGGTTACAGGTGTGGAAGTGTGAATAATGAGCATATCAACGATCACACTCACCTCTTTCAATCAAAAATTAAATCGATTTATAACCATCAACCATAGTTTTAATGACCAAAGGATTTTAACTCGATTAAGTATATTTGAATTTTTTAGTGGATTTAATTGATATTTTTGATAGAATGAATCATAATATTTGTGTTTCATAATGCTTTCATACAAAAACTTAGTAATTGTAGATTATGATGTGATCATCTTCAGTATATGTCGTGAAGCAGTACCAAGAACAATTTCTCTAAATGTCAACACATATATTTTTGTTATTGGCATAAACAATGTTAAAAATATTAGGATAATGATGATATTTACATAGACTAAAACATGATCATAATCAAATATGTTGAGAAATGCAAAGTTTCATTTATTTTTTTAATTAGTTTCGATTATAATTTATTTCAAAAAAGTAGAATTACTATCGATTTTTTATTGGCGTTTCTTCATGACAGATGGAAAAATTTTAACTTTATTATTTATTTTGGATTACATCTATTATAATTTATTTTCTTCATTAAGTTTTAATCGATTATAGCCGAAATTTAATCAGGATAAAAAATTATATTTATTCGTTTTTTCCGGTTCATTTTGACTATAACCGATTTCACGATGATGAAACATCAATTTAGGGCATATGCTTTTAATCAATTGACGGTAGCAGATTAATAAAACGAATAGTTTCTGTTAACCGTGAAAATGACGATGACCGAAGGGTTTACATAATTCTTCTATTTTCTTTTCTACTTGGATATTCATCTTTGACACAAACATAGAATGGCAACAAGTGCAATACAAGATCTCGACTCTCCTGTCCACATACTTGCACCCTAATCTATAGGTTAAAAACATGCTAGCATAAGAAACATCATAATATGAAGTATTTTCATCGATTCATTTATTAATTTTTGCAGATTGACGAATTCGCGTGTTGTAAAAATGTTTATTATTTATATGAAACTTACTTTTAATAAACAAAAGCTGAAATAAAGTGTTTACGAATTTTCATCGATCGAGCAATCTTAATCTATTATAGAAGAGTTTGTAAGTTTATCAATGAACGTTATTCATTCTTAATATCAGTATGATGTTCATCTTTCTCGTTGTTAATAAACAAGATTGGAAACCCAATATCAGGATACATACTAATGAATAAACGTAAACTTTTAACTAACTTGAAAATATTAACTAATATACAAATAGGAATTAAGATCGATACCAATATAAGATTCACAAAATAATTAGGAATATATAATGTAATGACTGAAAACATGAACACAATTGATTCAGTAGTGAATAATATTGGAGATTGTTTCTTCAATTGATTATAATGCATATTTAACGTGTCACTGCATACAACTAATAAGAATAAACTTCTATAAAAGAATATATTTGGTATAAACTCATTCATATACTTATAATGATCGATAATAAAAAAGATCACAATAGATATCAATGGAGATAAGCATATGATAAGAAGAAGTTTAATAGAAAATATTGATGATTGGATAATAAGATACATATTATCAACGAAATATAAAATACAACCAATAGTTAATGCAACTGATAAGGTTGTTAATACTATTTGATATTCGATACTATCTAATATTGTTATATCATATATGATGACAGAAAGAGATAAAAATAGAACATAAATGTATTTCCAAATATGAATTGTATATGGTTCTAATAATATACCTGTACAATAATATTCACAAAAACTCATGTAAAAATTCAATGGTTCACTTGCTAATAATACAAATGATGGCAAACAATATTTCATATATGATGGATATAATTGAATGATAATTAAACTAGCTATAAACATATTTATTGTATCACACCAATGATCTCAAAAATGTCTTGCTAGAGATTGTGTACCATTTCGTCTAGCTTGTTTGCCATCAATGATATCGAGTATATAGATGAAATATTCAACAATCATCCATAGAATATAATGCAATCGAGAGATTTCAGTTGACAAATACACGAATATGAAAAGAGCAATGTGTAATATGAGTCCTGGTATTGGAATAATTATTGATGATAATTGAGAAGGTAGACAATGATGTGTTAATAAATCACATAGATACATGAATGACTTGATTAATCGATCATGATGTAATTTTTTATAAGATTCATCTTTATCTAATACAATTGTATTTGGTTTTATTCGAATACCAATTGTTTGATAATACAATCGTGAAAATAACGAATTACAATTGGTATTTTGTTGATCATTGGTCTTATCATGATTCAATTGATTCAATTGATCGATTGCTTTTAATGAGAGATGATATTCATCTGCCTCCATTTATTCGTTATTCTTTATTGAAACAGTTGTAAAAAAAACCTTTTCTCATTGTGTCTTTTATTGTAGATATACACTTTATAATCTATCTTTTGATCGTTTGCTGTTAGTCGCGCTTGACTAACTACCTTTTCTTTTGATATTGCTCACGTTTGCATGTTTTTCTTTTCGTTTTTTTTCTCTCTAATGGCGATTATCGTTCCGAAAACTACTGCCCAATTTTCTTGCCGATCTTCATGTAACTGTTTATTGGTCTACTTTGGCTATTTGATGATGAATTCGATTAATAGTTCGATTATCGACTTTTATTTGAATTATCTGTGTGATATTCATAGAGAATCTCTAACTTGTGGTGTACACTCCTAAATCTTCATTCATTCCTACAATAATTCATTTCATCTGAGAATTTCATCCATTGTAGTAAATACTCATACATTATGTTATAGTAACTCACTGAAAAAAATAGATCTCTGATTTAGGTTTGTCAACTGCGTTGTCATATAGTATACGTGCTAAAGTTGAAATCTAAAAATCATTACTATGTACTTTCAATACGTAGATGACGGACTCTATACTTAGCAACGATGAATATATTGATTAATACCAAGAGACACCCTAAGAGAGCAACAAGGACAAATATTTGATGACTTAATCACAATGAGAAAGTAGATGCAAGAAAAAGACACATAACTCACATGTTTCGCAATATATTCACAAATTGCCATAAAATGATTAAAAAGAAAAGTGATATAAGTAATAGAGACGAGATTTGAACAATAACTTAATACCGAAAACAAACTCGATGAATCAGACGAATATCCAATTATTCATGATCAATAAAAGGATAGAGTAAGAAGAAGAAAGATATCGATTGTCACTGATCACACAAGTACTTCAAACTTGAGCCAACTGTATGAAAGAAATTTGTACCAATGATTAATTGTCCAAAATTATGTTCATACGATCTATTAAATAACTCGAAAATAGACCATCTATAGTCATCGAAACAAGTTCAAATATAAGTGTAGCAAATTGTGACAAAGACAATTTCCCAGATGAATATGTTATCTAAGTTTTTCGAAACATATTTGAGTATATTTGACACTTCTATATCGTAACATAATCAATATTGTCCTTAGTCTTCAAATAGATTGGTTTACTTAATCTCTCAATACGGAACCAATAAGAAAATATATCAATAGCTATGACGTTGACTTGACATGGGAAGAATTTTTGTTCATATTCACAATTACATCTTGTTTTCTAAATGATTTCAAGTTCAACAGCAATACTAGTCTGATTCAGAATACTGATGTAATCCTGTTCGGTATCCTGTCAGAATCTCGAGCTTCCATGGTTACACAATTCTTTTTGAGTTTTGTCGTTGTCTTAAGAAAAAAGAAGGAATTTATTGAAGGATCTGAAATTGAAAGATCAAATGTCTTCGTCATAGTACTATAATTATGATCTCTATCAATATTCGGAATTTCAAAAAAAAAAAGATTCTGCTGAAATTTTTACAAAACTTATTTCAAGTAGAATTTTTCTGCGTCGCTATTGATGTGATTGTGGCATTTGCTTAGTGAGAACCAGGTTTTTGCATTTTTTTTCTGAAAAAAAATTTAAATAATTATTAAAATCACGTCTTTATTTTTAACTCAATAATTTCATTATTATTCCGCTAAATACCTATTTTCAATCTACGCTAAGTTTCAGATTGAAGTTCTTCCTAGTTTCATACATGTATAAGAAAAATAATAAATATATGTTTGAAATCGAATCAAAATTTGTCGTAAAAAATGAACTTTCTTCTCAAGTAGAAAAATAATTGAAAGATTGCTATATATGTATACAAACTTTTGGAGATAAGTTTTATTTGCATAAAATTGAAATAGAACTTTCAAACTTAAGTCAGAATTTAAAATATCGAACACAGTAGTTACATACAATAGCATAATACAATCTAGCTGAGGCGGTCGGTATAGTATAAAGAAAATTTTATATTGCAATGAGTAAACAATGACTTGCAACAATAACTTGATGGATAATTTTGATCATCAGTATAAATTTGCTGTCGTTTTGATAAAACCTATTAATCTATAGCAGATTGTAGTTCTGTATCTAAACAAAGTATATTAAATAATTTGATGCAAATATATTTCCAGATGTTTAGTGTCATCTTGTAATTCATTATTGAGATCAAACCAAATAAGACTAAGATATTTTCTATTTTCAACTATTTTCATCGTTTCAAATTGTTGTTTTATAGCATTGAAATTTTTTTCATTTAACAATGTTCTTGTTGTGCTCATACATGTTTGACCTTGATTCGTATTTATAATGTAAGTATTTTTATTGTAAATGAAACATAAATAGATCGATTGCAAAACTATATCAAGCAATGTCTACACACGTTTTTTCAATGATTTACGAGATCTGGATGAGTCTTTCAGACATTTTGGAATAGCATTACCAATTATACAACTATTGTTCTATTATTTTCTAGATTCCTCATCTTTGATTTGCAAAAAGAGTCAGAGCTTTTTGTTTGCATACGTCAGAGTGACATGAAAAAAATTAATTATCAAGAAGAGCACTGTTATTTGTATATAAAGTTTCAATTATTATATCTTGTTTTGGTCGTATCATTATAATCAATGTGACGATATTCAATGATATCAAGTAGTAAAATAGAAATAAAGCAAAATTACTTGAATATGATGAAAAAAATTAGTACAATTATTTTGGTTGTAAAATCAACAACTATAATAATTTACAAGCGAGTGAAGCAATTGATTTAATACTGAATAAACTTTTTTTGTATTACATCCGACTGTCTGTTGACTGATTTTTCTTTTTCGAGGAATATGAAAAAAATTATTTTCATTCTCAATCTTTTTTTTACGCATTGTAATCAGTTGTGAATAGATTAAAGTCTTAGTTCGTCGAAATGCATTATCAGTGTCCATAGATATGAACTTTAAAATAATAAATACCTTGTGTTGATTTACTGTTAATATTCTATTATGTGAATGACACGAAAGAAAAGAAACATAGCAGTATTTGTAAATATCAACGGTAACTATGGAATTTATGACAAAACTAACTTGTTCTCTAGTATTTTGCTTTTGTTGATTCTTATCATTCATCACGATTATATGTCAATAAATACAGAATTGTAATCCTGTTTCATTTCAGAAGCGTCGGCAACTAGACATCGATTTACGAATATGAATGCTAAAGTAAAATCATCATCTGTCAATGATCGAACATTATCAGTTCGGACAATATGCTCCTGTGGCCGCACTTCAGATTGACATATTCGTACCAACTCAAATACCCGAAATGAAATGTATCAATCGATAGCAGCTTCATATATAGAGTGACTTTTTTGGAGAGTGAAAGTCTTCTACTCAAAGAGATCTGCGCCCTCTCTCGTTTATATCTTGAAAAAAAACAGACAATCTGTTGGATTTAGACCAAAAATAATGAATATTGTTTTATCTTGGTTAAAGGAAACATTTTCTCATTGTTCAATTTATAGTGGACTATTGTCAAAGAATTTCAAAGCACAAAAATAATTTTAAACATTATATAATTTTCAAATAGGTAAATAATGAACAAATCAGACACATTAGTTATGCAATGTCAAAACGTATTTCTCATCATCAATTTAAGAAAAACAACAAATCATTAAATATTTATATACAAGCATATTTACCATGTAAAAAGAGATGACTTTCAGATGATGTATCTAATTCAATAGATTTAGAATGCATAAATATAAAAAACATGAATACATTAGTATGACATTTGTACAAAATCGACTAATTGTATCATATGTAAATTAGTACGGTGTTTATTCCAAGATTTCTCTTATCTTACAAACTCAATGTCACAAATACAATAAAAATAGAAATGCATAAGTGAAATATTTCTAAAACAGAAATATCAAAGTCATAATCTAGCAAAATTTCAAAAATTACATGTCTATATGTAGTGAAAATTTCTCAGTTTTGTATTTCGTTAGATAATATATGAGAGCTATCATCGAAGTCATTTTCCATCTTCAAATCTACAATATGAGGCTCTTGATGCAGAAAAAGATAGTCGAGATTAACATCAGTGGCTTGCAGTCAACGTAGATACGGTAAATTACGTTGAAATTCAATATATTTAGAAGAGAAAAACAATCTTTCATTTGGAAAAAGTTACAACTATAATTTTTTTGGGATGTAGATGAATGTGAATGTAAGATACATGTTCTTTTAGTGAAATGGAAAATTGTGGATCCTTTCAAAATGTTATTAACGACGAATAACAGGTTTTCGAAAGATATTCGAATACATTTGACAAATATGCTGTTTCGTTGCACAGTTAAGGAAATCAAACATATAGAAAACATGAACTTCTTCAATTGAATCTGTAATGGACTTCAGACGTTTGTCTTCTTCAAGTAATACTTTCAATCGATTTGCAAGTTGTATTTTAGCAGTAGTGGTTCCTTGACACACATTCAACACTTTAACATTTGATGCTAATAAAAGCCATATGATGAGTGTTTTCGCATCCAACTGATCGAGATCACATGAATTTAAATCGAGAGAATAGACCATAGGCAACACTGGATCTCTGGACCTTGTGCTGATCAACTGCAGAATAATGAATACGATGAAATAGTGAGCAATAATCTTCAATTTTGATAGAACATGAAGAACAGATAACTATGCTTCGTACAAATCTCTCATGACCTCTTTGGTTCCTTTTTTACTAACTGATGAAAACTTCAAACGATACTTATCGACTCGGTAGATTTTCATTGAATGTTATCGCAATGTGTGCCAAAATTGTTAGCCCCATTTCAGAACACTCTCAACTCCCTTTTGATGATTTGTCCCATCAGATACCATGAAAAAACATTGCAAACATGATTTGGCATATTTCTAGTCCTCGTCTTCTAACTAGTATATTTATTTCATCAATTTAGACTAGTTTTAGAAGAT